CCGCACCGTTCTACCATACTGCGTTGCTGCTAACTCATAGTGCATCCGGAGATAGCGTTCAACATCTGACTTGAATTTCATAAGATAAACCTACGTCGAACGAGTATAATCGTCTACTATGGTCAAGAAAAACCGCGAGCCATCAAGGGCAGGATTCCGGTATTGGCCCCCATATATCAAGATGTAAGAGATCAAAACAAGAAGAAGTCTTGATAGAACTTTGGGGAAATGGGGTGCGTGTCTGGTTGGCACGTAAACAAGAATCACAATGAGAGGAATGCCCCAGTCTATCAAAAAAAAGATTCTCCAGTCGGGCATGCCATAAATCTATACTGCTGCCCCCAGCGACAGCCTTGCACGCTTGGGAGAGACACCGCCCGAAAAATGCCGTAAGTAATAAAACCCGTCGCGTAATCTACCGATGCCAATTAGCGTCCTGGAAGGTAAGACCTGAAGCACGCAAAAATCATGAATGAATCTGATGGTAACATTACGATCACGTGCCAGATGACTGACTGAAAGAAGATTACACTTGAAACCCGGCACATGCAGTGCATGAGATAAGATAATAGAATATGAGAACCGTACTGAACCGATCCCACGAACTAGAATACCCGTACCATCAGGAATCTGAACCTTAGATGACCCAGACAAAGGAGTGATAGAATCCAACCAACGAGCATCACGTACTATATGTTCGTTGCACCCTGAATCTATTAACCACTCAGAAAGATCAGGATGATTACCCGCCATATGTGCAGTGGACTCCGAAGCTGCCTCAGGTGTAGAGGATGACAATAACTGCTTCAGCTGCATGAACTGTGCCGCCGTTAACCTAGGGATCGGACTCCCATCTGCTGTATCAGGCTTGACGTGCGCTGCATGTGGCTTACGCAAGTTGGACTTGGGCCTGTCCTCTCCTTGCTTCGCGCGAGGGTGACCAGGGGGAACCCAACGAGACGATAACACGTCTCTCGCGTGTGTCCAAGATTATTGCAGTGTGAGCAGCGAGGTTTTTCAACGTCCTTCTTCTGCCCCTTGTCGGCCTGAACTTGGAACGCCGCGGTTTCCACAGCTGGCCGCCTCCCATTAGTGAGCAAGCAGTGTTGTTCTTCAGCAGCTACAACCTGATACGCCTCATTGAGAGTGGGAATGGGTTTGGTGCTGAGAATTTGAGAATGAACCACTGTATAGCCCTCGTCCAAGCCAAGGAGGAACTCAAACAGCCGCTCCGTCTCTTGTTTCGCATGGTTTTGAGCAGGCAGGTCGCAGCTATAGCCGCCACAAGTACAGCCGCTGCATACGCAGCGCGGCAGTCCCCCGACGGCGTCCATCTTATCCCAGTACCCACGGAGTTTGGTGTAGAAGGCAGAGACAGACAATTTTTCCTGTCGGGGTGAGCTGATCGTGTGACGGAGCTCATACACGCGTTGCGCAGACCCACGACTAAACCTTTTCTGGAGGTCGGCCTAAATAGCGCGGGCGGTAGTGGCCATCTGAACTCTGTTTTGAACCTCACGTGTCATCGGCGTCTTCAACCAACCTTTGATGGTAGCATCGCACCTGTCCCAGGCTTCTTGACGACACGGAGACCCTGCCTTGGTGCGTGGTAGCAAACCATCAACATAAGCCATCTTATTTTTGTCCACGAGAATTTCGGTGAGATCATTGACCCATTCACCGTAACTCGAATCATTCAGCAAGTAACTGCCGAAGAGCTGGGCAGGGTTCTCGGATGAGTGCAGGTAGAGAGGAGAGCTGATCGGAATGACTTCGTCAGCGGTAGAGCCGCCGTCCGATTTGACGGCAACGGTTTTCTCGTCCTTAACCATGATGAAGAAACCCTAATCACTGAATCTTATTGCTCTGATACCATGTAAAATAGTCGAAATGAGGAATGAAAGTAGACACACGATTTACGTGGTATCCCCGGAAACCGGGACTTACCCACAGAGAGCAGAGCTCTCATGCTGAAGCTTTACTATGTGACGAGGAAGATGATCGCAAACCCTGTGTCATGTGCTGCTGTACACGGCTAAGCAACCCTTTTATACCCTTCGACATTAACCTAGGGTATTAGGGAGATTTACAATATAACCCCAAAACAAATAAAACGGATAGCAAGGTCCAATAAGACAAGTATAGCCTAGTGAGACGATGTAGCACAGTGGTGATCGCGATGTCATATCCATGGTCCTTGAATCTATTGCTACTTTTAGGTTTTGTCAGTATCTAACCTAAAAGGTGAGTGATAAGGTATTTCTAACACATTAAAAGAACTAACTTATCACAAATTTTCACTATAGTGGAATGAGGTATTTAGGGTTAATATCCCCTAACTTTTAGACAATGTTGGGGTAAATGTGCATGCAATCCCATTTACGATGCCGGTACCCTCTAGTTTAACATCTAGGCAATTAGGGATGACAATGGGACGAGTTTGTCTAAACCAATCTCATCCCCATTTTCAATTACTCAAACTCATATTCGCTCCATACCCATGAGGTGGAAGGTTTTACAAACTCATTCCCATACCCTCAATTTTCGGATACCCATGAGTTATACCCACCCCATCAGCTACTTATCATTAATAAATGAATATGGTAACAAATATTGATACTACCCGTCCAAAATTATGGAACTAATAAATAAGAGGATGAAATTATTGTTTGGTTTCCATCAATTACATTTTAACACTTTATTTTTTCCTATTAATTACCCTTTATTCTATTGACAAGTTATAATAGACTACTTATATTTTATGCACATAACATAATATCCTTGGTGGGGCGGGGGAGTCCAGAATCATACCCGCCCATCCCATCAACTTCTTTGCGGGTTAAACCCATACCAGCTCCATACCCACTCAAAGTGCGGCCATCCCATACTTAATAAGAGTGGAGATTCCCCGCATTGACTGAATCGAAGGTGATCAGGTACCTGTGACCATGGATTTGGTTGCCATCTCTACAGACAACGATCATGTTTCTAGATGTACTCCACTAATAGACTTTTTAGCTTAATGATCATGTAGCTGACAAATCCATATGGCAATGATAAGTACGAATCTTTTAATTTGGATAAACACTTATGACCAAACAGAACTACAACCCAATGATCATGTTATTTAAGTCAAAAATTACTTTATGTAACTTTTAGTGGCGTAGTCAGGATTTTATCAAGGACGAGTCCATTTAGAAAAAAAAAATATAAGATAAAATATTTTTTTTAGCTTTTTAAATGCACTCATGATATATTTTTGTATTTACAATATCTTAGTAAATTAAATATATGTCAAAACTATCAAGAATATCACTTTATGTATCAAACAATTATTCATGACTTAGTTAGACCACTACAACAATTTTGGGATGTCCTGACAAAATTTTAGTTTGTCATTTTAGGTTTGTCACAATAGAACCTATAATATGACAGTACTAAAATTTGTCATATTAGTTGTGTTTTTTTGACAAACAAATATTTTGTCATAATAATTGGTCATATTAGACCCATATTGTGACGAAGTTATATGAAGTCATAATATTTTGTCATATTACATATTTATTATGACAAATAGTGTATGTCATTATAATTTTGTCACAATATTGTTCTCGTACTTTATTTTAAGTAAAATAATTTTGGTAATGTGACAAAGTTTGATTAGTCAAAACATGGGTGCTTTTATTCTTTTCCATTTTATGTTCAGATAATGAAAGTGTGTGTGAGAGAGAGGAAATAGGGCGCGGGAACTAATTCCCTCCAGCGCTCCAAAACTAGATCCACTCCCAAATTTTGCCCCAAAAATTGAAATACGCCGCTCAAAAAACCCTTTGTCAATTGAAACCAGTCTGTCTTCGCAGTCGCATTGAATCCTCCCCGCAACAGCGAGCAAACGCATCGCATCATAATCGAGTAAGACGACTGTACTCTCTTCGATCACCCTCTTCCACTTCTATCGCATCGTTTTCAGCCGATTGAGAGAAGCTTTCGTTGGGGATTTTTTGGGGGAGTTTAGGTGTTTGCCGATTGTAAGACGATTTTGTTGGGAATTTGGTTGATTTTGATAAATGGAATCTCTACATGTGGTCTTGCATGCGTAACTCAGAGATTGGAAATTTAGTTTCTGGATTCAATTGAAACCTAAGGGTTTTTTGGGGTTTATCGTTTCCTTAAGACGATTGTACTAATCTAAGCACACTATTCTCTGAGTTATCAGTAGTTCTTTGATTTCTGTAAGCTGCGTAGGGATGCTGAGTTATCTAGTTTGTGTTTTGTGGACGTTGTTGTAAACTGTCGGTTTCTACTTTGTGGATCTTGTTGTTATGGTTTTGGTGTGTTTGGTTCTGTTCACTGCGTCGACCCTGTTAGAGAAGGTTTGATTGCTTCGGTGTTGTGATTGCTTTGCTATTGCTATTTCGACATCCTTAGGGGAACATTTGAGATTTATTCTCTTGTTTTCATTTTGCAGGTGCTTGCTCAAGTGAAGTTATAAGGTCAACCTGCATTTTGTGATCCAAGAATCGTCCAAGGCATAGGTTAGCCTAATTTATGCACACAGACTAAATGGATAGGGGTTGGTTGAAGCAGAAGAATCGATTTTCTGCTAATTATGTGAGGGGTGTTGAGTACTTTCTGGGGGTTGCCAAAGCATGTGCTGATGGTAGTGGTAGACTTAGGTGTCTGTGCAGAAAATGCAACAATTGTTGCTTTAAAACAATAGATCTTGTGAAAGCTGACTTGTTCCTCAATGGGATGGTAGAGGATTACAGTTTGTGGATATATCATGGAGAGGACTCTGATATTTGTGGTAGCGGGGCAACTGATAATTTAGAGGACACGTGGTCAGAATGATATGCATGGTTTTGACATTGAAATACCTTCCATGTTGAATGATTTGAGTCGAGCTAATGCTGCTAGGTTTGGTACATCAGGTTCTGAATCTATGAATGAGGATTTTGGGTGAGTGAATATGGATCCAACCTTAGCTAAACTACGAAAAGATGCTAAAGCAAACACTTTTTGCCAAATTAGAGGTAAAACAAATCATATACCTGTATTTGCATGCTTGCTCGTCAGTATCCTTCACTTTTCACACACTAACACACTTTCCCGATTGCAGAGTGAGTTTGATATCTCAATGACTAATGGAGCTATGAGGTTGGCTGTTGATTATTCACTGTCTAAGAGGTTCATTAACTTCAAGTACCATTGTCATAAGCATTATCTGGCGTTAGGAGCCGATGCTAGACAGACCCCTCCTGAAAATGTGAAGATGGAGGAGTGGATAAAGCTGTGTGAGCATTTTGAGTCTGATAGGTTCAAGGTAAGCCATCTGCCATGAAGAATAGATCGAGTCTGATAAGCATTTAATTAGGCAGTTCTGTTATCCTATGTTAGATATGGATAAGGTGCTAATGAATGTTGTCTTATACGCTGATGCAGAGGCAAAGTGCTGCTAATAAGCGCAATAAAAGCATGCAGACTTTTGCTCATACTACAGGTGGAAAATCATGCAACCAACGAATGTATGAAATGGTAAGGTTTCTCCTCCATTGTACCTCCAATACCAGAATGCACCTTACTAACATTCTATAATCTGGGCTGTTATTAGGAAACAACCGATGAAGCAAGCAATGAGGCTGATGCGAAGAACAATGATAATGAATCTGATGAAGCTGAGGTAGAGCCCAAGGAAATCAGAGTTTATGCCGATACACATAAGAGGAAAAATGGGACTTGGGTCAATGAGGAACCTCAAAAAACTATGTAAGTGAACACAACCGACTGTGTTTCTTCCTTTCTTTAATTAGGGGCTGGTTCTAGTACTTGGATGTGTGACATAGGTTCTGATTGTAGCTAAGTTAGTCATGTAAGTGAATGAACTTGGTTGTTAGCAAACCTAGCTACTACTTGGATGTTAGCGGACCTAGCAAGTACTCTGACTCCACTGTTGTGTTCATAGGAGGAAATGAAAAGAATCCATGCTGAAGCAGTGACAGAAGGGAAAATATTATCCGGTGCTGAGATTGTTCTTATGGTGCTGGAAAAAGCACCCAACTATACCAAAAAAGTCAGCTCGAGTTCCCAAAGAGAGAAAAAACTGAAGGCACGACTGCAGGAGACAATTGTTGTGGGGGAGAGGCAGAGGAAAGAATTTGAGGACCAGATTCATGCACAGCAGGAGCAGATAGAAAACCAGCAACAGGAGATACACAGTCAGAACGGTATTATCAAAGGGTTGCAAGCATCACAGGAGACCCTAACTAAATATGTCGAGTCACTAGCTGCAAAAATTGATGAAAGACAAGTTTAGCTGAAGGTAAAATTATAGTCTCATAAGTTATACTTATACTGTCATCGGTGTTACTACTCAATTGAATTTTATTTCATAAGTTTTACTCAAACTTTGATCGTTGTATTACGCAGGTACCTAGGTATATGGAAGTAGGTATGCATTTTGGATGCTCAAGGACTACATCATCATGAGTATTAGTACCTTTAGAAGGCTGTTAGCTTTTTTTATTTAGTACTCTCTTTTGAAAGACGAACATATGTCGCTTTGGAAGACTTTGTTTTGGTTTCTGGATGGATGGATCAGTAGGTTTTTGGAACATATTGTAACTATGAATGATGTAGTTTTTTATTTCGGTAATTAATGATGTAGCTTTTGATACATTTGAATGATGTACCGTTTTCTTTATGGTATGAATAACATCAGATTTGGAAAATAGGTTGTCATAATAATGCCCACAGGTTGTCATATACGCATTAGGTTATGACAAACAAGTTTAATCAGGACAAATGTCAGGTGGAGTCTGAGTTTGAATATTATGACAATCACATGGCTTTGTCAAAATAGGTTTGCTATGATAAACTATACATTTGTCACAACAACGTAGCAAAAGTGGTAACTATCGTGACAAAAATAAATAACATATTGTGACGAAGCATTTCTGTATTTTGACAAAACATTTTGTCATAGCAAGATGCCTGTTATGACAAAATGTGCACGCGTGCAACTGGAACATGTTGTGACAAGATGCTTATTTTTTTTGTCATAATAGAGCTATTTCGACGAGGTAGTTTTGACCAACGGTATGACAATTTTTTTTTTCATAATAGATCTATTATGACAAATGTTGGATCTGTTGTGACGAACGTCGTTGTCATAATATCCCAAAATTGTTGTAGTGGACATTTGCTTTTGAATGATGTTATTTGTCTAGACTGGTTAGTATCAATAACTGGAGTTGTTGGAATATATTTAGTAATGGATCTTACACTATTTAGGTTTTACAAACACTTCCCTACTAATGAAAACCAAATCATACGTGCTTAAAGTTTCCACAAATTTGAATATCTTGTGCTTAACAAATGGGTCGCCAAGATTTGAATACATGATCTCGCTGTTAACCATTCTCATTTGGAAGTGCCCTATATTTTATTAGCAATTAAATCTTATACTAATTTACTCATTTTTCGTCCTTAGGAGCCACCCGTTGCATCCTCCCTATCTCTTATTGAAGTAAAATTATTTTTACAAATTAGCTCTGATTTGGTGAAAATTTGTTGTAGATATTAAATAAGTACATCTTTAATTTTGGGTGGATCATTTGTACCATTGTCACGTGTGTGGCCCACCCATAAGGGCCATGCGGACTTGACGTCATCCAATTTGTACATAACTCGTTATAAAAATATTGAATAAGCCAATACACACGCACATATATAAAATATTTGAAAGGTCAACTATTCTCATTTAAATACGTATTATTTTTCATATCCGATTAACTATTATACCTAATTTACCCTTTTTACTCCCCAACCAGGGTGGATCCCGGGACCTAGGGGTGGGCATTCAGTCGGTTCGGTTCAAACCGAACCAAAATTATGCATACCGGGTCCCCGAATTCTATCAAACCTCAAACCGAATCCGAACCGAATTATAATTCGGTTTGGTTCAGTTTTTCATACAAAACCGAACTTTGTGATCTCTTTTAAATTATTTTTCACCCCTAATGTAAACAATAAATATGCATCATCAATTATAAAATCAGACATTTCAACATATAAGTCATAAAACACTAACATGATTCAAATATTTAAGTCTCATAATAAGTAGAAACATAAAAATCCACCATTTGGAGCTTGCAGTTATAATAATTCGGTTTTTCGGTTCGGAAATTCTGTTCGGTCGAAAGGACCCTGGTTTCCGAAATATGCCATTTTCTCTTCCGAATTCCGAGCCGAATAACATTAATTCGGTTTTGGTTCGGTACGATTTTAACGAACCGTATGCCCACCCCTACTGGGACCCACCCTCTATCCCTCTCCCTCCGACCCTATATGAAGGGGAGGGGGGTCAGGGCATTGTGAGTAGGGCTGTTAATGATCCGAGCTGAGTTTTGCCATGGTTCGCGTTCGGCTAGTTAAAATAATTATAATCTCGAGCTCGGCTCGAGTTCGACACAAGCTTTAATAGGTAGGCTCGATCTCGGCTCGTTTACAAACACAGAAGCTCGACTTTCCAAATGAGATTAACGAGCAAATCTCGAGTTCAGCTGATAAAATGTCGCTTGTTGCTTAACCTCGAGCTCGAACTTGGCTCACAAGACCCAACAACAAACACTTCCGAGCTTGTTTGCTAGCCTATCGAATTGAACATGACATGGCTCGAGCTCGGTTTATTTACAGACGAGCTTGTTATTGAACCAACTAGATTAAAAACGAATCGAGTGTCTAATGAGTTTTTCTCGAGTCGGACACTAAACCGTTTTGAGCTCCTTGCCTTGGCTTCGCCATCTCTAGCTAGCGTAAGAATGTGCGTCTGTAGCCAACAAAAAGTTTCAACTAAATTGGTAGCCATTTTTCTTCCAAGCCATACATTTTCGTAATATTAATTGCATCATCACATTTACATAGCTGCAGATGGCAGACATAGAAATACAATGAAATTAGTCCGGACTACACTATTTTGTTTTCCTTCCTCTTGCCTGTTTTCGGGGTCGGGTTGCTTGCAACACACAAATTAAACAACACCACCCACACCCACGTACGTTCCTTTTTCCTTGTACAACTGAAAAGTTAAAATCCGTTCCATGGTCAGAGTCAGCGAGTACTGCTAGTGGTGTGGTGTCACCCCACCACTAGATGTGGCATATATACATGAATTATGTACTACAGAAGTTCTAATAAATGCAATTTGATGTTTTCTTCCATTCGATCAAATTATGGATGCGTATATAGCCATAATTTTTGTTTTTTCTTGTTGGACTCTAAGGTAACACCGTGTTAAAATCAATGTCTAACGTGAACAAATTATAGGAATTCATTTAATATCCATGAATCGAGTTAAATCATATACACTACTATTAAAAGTCTGTACCCTTCATTCCTTGTGACGAGTTTAATTATATGCGTGTCCTATGTGATTATGCTTAGCGAAAATTCAACATTAGCAAAACAAACATTTTATCGATCGATGAGGTAATGTATTTGGATTACCGTCATTAACTTAAGGCTCCAATATACATGGGCTTTATGCTTTCTTGGCTAATTTTAGTAATTGGGCCTTTGTGGAGGGTTTCCTGAGAATTCAAGTCGTGTGATAGATTCGGACCGAGCTGGAATGGGAAATCTGTTCAACACCACCATCCGTCGTGAGAGCGGAGCATCATATTGGGATGCCGGGATTGGAATGGAAACTAGAGATGAAACATAAGGCCCATGGTGGAGTCGCTATTGATGAGTTAGATGGTGAAGGAGTTTGGAGTCTGACGCTGACGAGGAGGAATAATCGGTGGTAGGGGTGGGATTGAAAGAGAGGTAAGGCAAATTCCAACCTCCTCTTCTTCGGCCCAAACACCCTCGCTGAGTGCCCCTTGGAGTTAATCGGTCTATCTCCAATTAAAATCTCAGTGCTATTTTCCACTGAATTCAAAGATTTGAACACATCCTAGCATCATTTGGGGAAATCCCCTAAGAAACTGCTCACGGGATAAATGATGGATAAAAAATCAAAGCTCTAATTCACATCCTCTCATCTCTTTCATCCCCAATCAATTTTCGGAAGAAGATCTCACTGCTGCCACCAAATAATGTTGGCGGATCTGGATTGTTGGTTGTGTACTTAGAGGGGTTTGATGGCGATTCAGTGGTGGCCATGGACCCGTGGAGGCGCTTTATAGGAGCTTCGTGATTCCAGATTGAGATTTTTGTACATGAACAGATCTGAAGCAGAGGACAATATGCATTAGGGGAATCAGATTGGAGAACTCTGATTTGAGCGACTTGGGCTATAAAGTTCTAGAAAAACTCACTAGCAACTACTTATTTTGACTTTCTAGACTCTGCCTTCTTGATCGGTAAGGAAGGACGAGAACTAGAACTGTCATCGAGAATCTCAAAGTGAGACATGAAGCAGAGGCGGCCCAGAGCTATCCAGACCGGACTGGAGGCGGATGAAGGTTCCAGTATTGGAGAATCAGCTTGAATCCAGAATGGTCAACAACATGTGCACGATGGACTGAAATGGAGAAGGATAGAAGTTTGGAACTAGTCTGGCATTTGTGATTCTGTGTTTGCGATGCCGTTTTGCTTTCTACGATTTGTTTAATCCTCTGTTTTGGATTAGTTAACAATAAGCCAATTCTCACCAGCCACATGTCGGGCTTAGGTTAATGGAATTCAAGTGGTTGTTAAAACTGTTGATTAGCAGTTGGAGTTTCATATAAATATAAAAAACCCTAAAGAGAAGACAACAGTTTTTCT